GAATGTATTCTTTCTATAAACACAAAGTATATTAAGGTGGATCAGCATGCACACATACACACATACACAAAGAATGAGAATAAAGTTCAAGAAGAGAAAAATAAAGCATCATTCATTTATCAGATTTTTGGCAAAACTGCTGTTCTAGTTAATATGTGCACACGCAGGAGTGAACTTAGTTTTGCTGGGTATCCTGTGAAAAAAGAATCATGATCTCTGTACTAGGAAGGCGACCTGCAAGAAAGACCAGCGGGAAGTGTGACTGGTAGCACGGAGCCAGTCCAGGAACCAGGGAGGTCTAACGCGTCAAAGATGACGGCTCACAGGACAGGAGACCTGGCAGAGGTGCATTCCAGGGGCCCCGAAGGATGGGAGGGCACAGAGAGCCCAGGTAACGGTGTTAAGAGTGGGAAAGGCCAGTACGCTGCATGTTGGCCGCGGGAGTTAAGGTGCACCAACAAGCCTGCGGTGTCCAGCTCACGAGTACCTGCTTCATCCCCTGAGCAAGAGGGATGCTGAAGGCTTGGTGCTGTCGCCACTTGTTTGTTTCAAAACATAAAGCTCACATTGCTAGGGCAGTGGGTGGGGGGGGCACACTTTATAGCATTAGGGAAGTCAGAGCTTCCAGATTCCAGTTAATTACAGCTGAGGAATGGACAGACTCAATATAATCATATCAGGAACTCATGGAATGGAATCTTTGGGAAGGCAAGGAAAGCCAGAGAAAGTGACAGTTTATGGAAAGAGATGATACATCGCACAGGAAAAGGAGTACGTGGAAGCAAGCATCTTACTCTTTTGTCCTCCTTCCTCTTCCTCTTTTTGTTTCCTTTGCAATACTGAGGACTGAATCCACGGCCCTCGCCTGAGCTATGACTGCATTCCCTGGCTTTTTTTTTTTTTGGTACTGGGAATTAAAATCAGGACATTACACTTGCCAAATATGTACTGTGCCACTTTTGTTTTTATTTTGAGACAGGGTCTCACTAAGGTGCTAAGTAGCCCAGGCTGGGCTTAATCTTTTGATCCACCTGTCTCAGTCTCCCAGAGCACTGTGATTACAGGTGTGCACTGCCATATACACCATACACATACACGCCATTTTCTTTTCCCTGTCTCTTTAAAAGACCAAATAAGAAACACATAAAGAAATAAAAATCATTTTAACAAATGGACCCTGCTTAGGTGGATACAGGGGACGGGTTCAGATCCCCAGCCTGCCATGCCGGTCCTGCCCCTGGGGCGTACGGCGATTGAGACTGGGCATGGTGGTGTACACCTATAATTCCCAGTGCTTGGGAGGCTGAAAAACAGGAAGGACTGGGGCCAGGGAGATAGCTCAGTAGGATAAGAGCTTGCCTGGCAAGCACAAGGGCCTGAGTTCAAGCCCTGGTACTGAAAAAAAAAATCACACAGGAAGGATCAGTATGAATCCAGTCTGTATAGTGAGCCCCTGTAGACCTTGTACTAAACACATAAAAAATGGAAGCTTATAAAAATGCACACTACTCAGCCCACTCCAGATATACACAAGGTGAATTTTAAACAAATTGCTTAAGTGATTTTCAGATTGTTCAGATAAAATTCAAGGGGCACTGCGGCAGTGCATTACAATGGCAGGTCCATGGAACCATACAGGGCTGTCACTAACCAGGTATACAACCCTGGACAGAATAGCCTCTCTGAATTTCAGTTACTTCATCTGTCAAAGGGGCTGATGAAAATATATTCATCTCTTTTGTTAGTTGTGAAATTTTATTTTATTTTTTGGTGGAACCAGGGATTGAACTCAAGCCCTTGCGCTTGCCAGGCAAGCACTTATTCTACTGAGCCATCTCCCCGGCCCTAGTTGTGAAATTTTTAACATTCAGAAGACTGACGTTGGCCAAACACATTTATATGAATGAAGAGCAACCTGACCATGAAATCGATTAGTGTACAGAACCAGCAGGATTCGGGAAGAGGCTGGACATGCGCTACGTGTGATTTCTTGGTTTCTAGAACTGGCAACATAACACAGGTCAGGGCCACCCACTTGGCGTTTGGCATGGGGAAAGGGACCGTGTCAAGCTCAGTTTCAGGCACACTGAGGTCCAGCTGCCTCTGGGCCACCAAAGTAGAGCTGTCCAGTGGGTATCTGGGTCCATCAACAGCAACCTGGTGAGAAGAGATCTGGACTGAAAGTTCGAGTGTCACTTACTTAAGCTGAAGCCATTGGCGCAGGAAAGGCCACTCCGGAAGCACGAATACAGAACAGTGCCAGAGACTGCCCTGGGGGCGCACCCAAGCTCAGGGGCCAGATGGGAAAGGAGGAGCCCTAGAAGAAGCTGGGAAGATGAGGAAGGGAGGCTGTGGGAAAACCGCATGCACCTGGTGACACCAGGGAGGAAGAGGAAATAGGCCCAGCGCTGCAGAGGTCCCATGAGCCAGAGCCAGAGCCAGGTGTGGTGCACTCTCATCCCCGTCTGAGGCAGGAGAACTGTGAGTTTGAGTCCAGCCTGGGCAGCCTGGTGACTCAGCAACATCCTGTCTCAAAAAAGAAAGAAAAAAAAAGAAAGAAAAGGGTAGGGGCCCTATGAATGCCAAATAAATAAGTGAAAATAGAGACACGCCACCTGGACTCGGCAGCAGCAAGGTGTCTGGTGACCTTGGCAAGGGTGGTCAGTGCACTGCGGGAAGACGAGCATGGGAGGGAGACAGAGGGAAACCGTAGCTGTGCAGGGAGCCAAGGGAGAAGGTAGCGAGAGGCTGAGACGGACTCCCACAGCAATTAAAAAGTCTTCACTCTGTTGAGTGAGCGCAGTTTGAGATTACACTTCAAAAGACTGCGATACAGTAACGGCAATGGGCCAACTGAAGAGCAGAGGCCGAAATGCAGAGAGAAGGTGGCTCCAAGGAGCTGCTTTAATTGAGCGGGTAGCATAACTCAACGTGAAGAGATCACTCAACAGCAGTGGGGGAGAGCGGCCCTGTGGTTAGGTCAGCCACCAGGTGACGCTGGCTTGGGGGGTGTGATTCTCCCCAAATTCACCTCGTGGAAACAAGGGATACAACCTCGAGATGTCTTCCTTCCTCACAAAGGTGCAAAGGAGCCGCTCGAGCTGCGGGGTGGGACACGTGTCCCCGGAAGGCAGGGATCTCCCTGGGCTGGGAGAAGGCCTCAGGGTAATGGGACCAAACCGCCAGTGAGACTTAAATGCCTTTGTATCCACAATCGCGGGGAAGCTGCCACAAGGTCCCCACCAGGAGCAGCTAAGAAGTTGAAAAGGGACACCTTCTGAGGGCCTGAGCAAAGGGCTTGTAATGTTCAGAATCCATGTGGTAAAGAGGGGACACCAAGATAAAACTGTTTTTTTATCCTCCACAGCTTTAAAAGAAGCAAAAGAGCGGTTCCAAACTCTCTGATGTTCACAGCACACTGTCACATACTGCTATTGTGCTCAGTTAGTTTTGTCTGTATTTGCACAGACTGGCCTTGAACTTCGGATCCTCCTGCCTTGGCCTCTGAGAGCCTGGGATTATATGTGTGCTCCACCTCTCTTGGCTCAAATACTTCAGTTTTGGTGGAAGACCAGCACAAATTCAGAAGAAAACATGTTACACCTGAAGGCAACTTTCAAAAACCTGACAATATTTTTTACTTAGCCAAGTGGTTATACAAAGCCACATAATACTACATACTCTAAGCAAGTAGAGGATTCAGTTTTGCTGCGACTTATGATCCACAGTGCTACATCCAGCCAACCCATCTCAGAGTCAAGGCAGGCAAGCGACACATGCAGGCCGGGGCAGAGAACACTGCGGTGCCAGGAGGGTGGGCAGGCTGTGATCAAATAGGCACCAACAAAGGCATGCTTAGAGACACACAGGGGAGTTTCTCTTTTTGAAGATATAACAGAACAAGCAAAATTGAAGTAGGAAACTGTTCTACTTCACTACCTGCCCTGAAGAATTAATGAAATAAACAGTGTGCTCACAGTTTGGGTCTCTGCTTGTAAGAAAAATACAGTTATACACTGACTTGAAAGTGTTTTTGTAGCGTGGTCGATACCACATCCACCAGGTAAAGACACCTGAGTCAAAGAACAACGACCCCAGGCACCAAGGGGAGGGCAGGACCCAAAGCCTGGGCTGGGCCCAGGTGGCTGCAGAAGCAGGCAGCGGGCAGACACAGGGAGCGCTGGCTGAGCTCACCGGAGGGAATGAGGGAGCAGCCCACGACCCCCAGAGGGCAGGCAGGCAGGTGCTGGCAGCTCTAGTGTCGGGGCCAGAGACCCTGCCGCTGCCAGACAGCACGGAGGTGGCTCCTGCAGAGGCTGATTTTGTCTGGGGATGACTGGAGGACAAGCAAGCCTGGTCCTCTTCCACAGTGTGTGTTTAGCTCCGGTGTTTGCGACAGTTTTGTGCCACCACCACTGGTGTCAGAAACAGAGCTCAGCGCTCAAGATGGTCACCAAATGGCTAGTCAGGTGGTGGTAACTCTCTCCATGTTCTGTTGATCTAGGAAAATAGGTCATAAAATCACACTCACAGAAAGGAGGGTAGGGAAGAGACGAGATTAAAAATCGCTGTAAGCCAGCCTACTATCAATGAGATGGAAGGACTAAGCTGTTAAGGGCTGGATGCAGAAGTACTTTTTTGTTTATACTTTACTCTATGGTTTAAAGAGGATTTTGTTTCTGTTTTCTCTTTGGTACCAGGAATCAAACTCAGGACCTTGCCCTTGCCAGGCAGGTGCTTGTGTCCCTGAGCTATATCCCTGGCTTAAAAAGGATTTAATCCGGTTGGGGACAGTGAAGCATGCCTGCACTCCTAGCCACCTGGAGGCTGATGTAGGAGGGTCACAAATTTAAGGCCAGTCTGGGTTACACAGCAAGATTCTGCCTCAAAATAAAAAATAAAAAGGCTAGGGCTGTAGCTCAGTGGGTTGTAGCCCTTGGGCTTGGTGCCCTCTTCCATTTACATAAGTAAATAAAAGAATGGATTAAAGCAGTTTACTGAAATATATCTCAAAGAATTAAGTCAGTTAGATACAGAATCAATTGCATGCGAGAGTGGCCTGGAGAGACTTGGACAGCACGGGTCAACCCAATGCCTGCAGCTGCCACTCATTTCCTGTAAGATGAAAAAATTAGATTCATAACCAGGGAACACCCGATGTAGTAAATCAACTGAAAGCAAGAGAATTAGGTGAGGACGCATATCATAAATCTCTTAAGGTTGTTGGGGGCAAGGAGAAAATAGGGGTCTAAAGGTCCTAAAAGCCACTGCAAAGAGAAAAAAAGCTTTCCACACGCCTGTGCTTGTAAGATTAACAATAAACAGCTTCTTTAGGGAAGCACGGTAGTTGTGGGCTCTGAGAAAATTTTTGCTCCTAGGCCCTTGTAAAGGAGAGACTGTGTGACAGACAAAAAGGTCCTCAGCAACATTCTGCAAGAGACACCCCAACAGCCATCTGGCCATTTCCTCTCTGTCCACCAAAACAAGGTAAGGGCACAACGCCAAGGCACAGATCAAGAGATGTGAGTCAGAGAGGGGCCGGAAAAGGCAGGCCATTGCGTTTGTTGCTGTCACGCGCCTGGCTCAATCCAGGAATGACATATAAAGCACTTATACATGGACATCTCTTTAGAGAACTCTATGAACATGCTTCCTAAAACCCGGCTTTCATTAAGATCTAGGGAGCAAACAGTTTGAAATTATATGTTTAGACTAAAGCCTAAAGCAGGGCTACGCTATACTGCTGATTAAGGGCAGTGGTATTTGCTCTAATACTCAACCTAAACTTTGTAGGAGCCACCTGCTAAATAGTAAGACTATAAGAACGCGGGCTCATGGAGTGAGAGGTAGGGGGCAGGCAGTCGGGTTTCAATGTCACCTCTGCCATCTGCTACCACTCTGACAACATACCTGCGATAACTACACAGTGTTTTCTGAGCACCCACATGGGGAGCCATAATCCAATGCTACTTTCCTCATGTGGTTGTTAGCACCTCAGGTATGTGAGAAGCATTCAACAATGTTGCAGCTAATACAGTGTAAGCATCTGATAATGTTATAACTAATAATAATAATAACAGTTACAAGATGACCATAATAGAAGATTTCTGGTTCTACTCTAATACACAAATAATTATGTCATTAAGATCTTCAAGTTCTATGCATGGAAAATGGGCGCAATAATTTTGGCCTGGCAAAGTTTCAAAGCCAGCAAGACCAACAAAGGCAGTAAAAGTATCAGCTTCCCTCCCCCAAACACCACTATAGTTTTAGACCATGGAAAGCTGCCAGCAAATACTCCAAGATAGACATGTGTCTTGAGGACCCTAACTCAGACTTACAGACCAGTCAGTAGGACTGAAGAATGCCTGCCCACGTCGCATGGCAGCTGAAGAATGCGGAAGCCTTCATGTTTTGACGCTCCTTGGGGGAAAAGTACAGGTACATTCACTAATCTCTCAATTTGAGAATACCACACAGAATATGATTTTGCTCACAAAATTCACAACAAAAAGCCTACCCAGCTCTCAAGAGAGAATGAAACTACACTGGGTTAGGGATGTTGGACAGACAGCTAAATTATTTATTAGCAAATTATCACCCTTCTGTACACCACTCTCTGACATAATTCAAATTTGTGCCTGCAAAAAAATACAAATTACAGCCAGGGCTGGTGGCACACACCTATAATCTCAGCACTCGGGAGGCTGAGGTATGAGGATTGCCGTGAGTTTGAGTCCAGCCTAGTCTACACCTCAACTGCAAGGCTGGCTTGAACTATATAGCAAGATATTGTCTCCCCAAATAAAACCAAACAAAACCAAAATGAAAAATACCCTCAAACAGCAAATTACTTCATGTAAAGCTTTTGAGAATCCTTACATACTCAAATACTGATCAACCACCCTTTCATAGCCATTAGATAGTACAAAAGCCAGCCATTGTTGGAGGCCATTGAGTTCCTAACAACAAAGTCCTGCCACCCGCACGTGGAAGCACAGATCTTGGGCTCTCCTGTACAGCAGGACTGCAAAGCAGGCAGCTTGTCCAAGTTCAGGGATGAGTCATTCCGACTCAGGTTCAAAAATGAACGGACAATATTCTACCCTGATTTGAAATCCTCTGCAGATGGCGACTTCCCAGCAGTACTAAGAAGTGGCGTGCAAGAGAACCAGCAGCCGGGCGAGGCAGGGGAAAGGTCTATATTGTGTGGGTATCATTTATCATTTATACCACATCAGTTTTCCATCCATCGAGTCAAAGGCCAAGAAAAGATCAATAAAAGCTACAAACAATTTGATACTTTTCTTGACAGATTCTGATATGAAGTGAAGAATGTCTGATGGTGTAACAGCTGGGCCTTGCTTAAAATTCTTCCCCGAGAGATGGGACTGGCAATGTATCAGGAAGAAAAACTGCAAGCTAATAACTGGAACGGTGTTCAAGCTTAAAGGCTCCTTTTTTTTTTTTTTTTTTGCTCCAAATGCCTTCAGGGCAGGTTTGGCTGGCTTGAGTTGTGGGGATGAACCACAACAACCTGAGCCTGACTGCTTTGTTGAAGCAGCCACTTAAACAACTGAGCTACAGGGCAGGGCCCCAAAGCCTCCTTTTCCTTTCTTTATTTTTCATTGGTCAGCATCAACCAAACTGGATCACCCATTCATCCATCAATCAATCAATCAATATTTACTAATGCTCAGCACTGTCCTTGGTATTAGGGATAAAATGGCAAATACACAGCCATGATTTCTCCCCTGAGGGAGCTCCTAATCTGTATCCTTATACATATACGGGACTAATAAAAGGAACAGGAATGAGATTCCACCAGTGGAGGAAGAAATCTGCACGGGGGGCTTTAGATCATCTACCACATGAGGGAATGGTGAATGTTTGGGACACATGCGCAGGTTCCAGCACAAGTCTTCTTCTTTAACTCTTTACTTCTTTAACTGACTTTTGCCTCCATCCCCTTCAGAAAGAATCTGCCCTACCCACAAAGTTTGCCGAGGGCCTGGTGCTAGGAGGCCATGTTGACACTGAACAATCTCCCTATCATAAGCATCACCGTTTTGAGTCAGGGATGGTGACCCAAGCTAAGAGAAATCAATAATCTGTAATATTCCATTTGGAATTTGAAAGTAGGGATCAAGAAGAGATGCTGATGGGAAACAGAGCTGCATAGACCACAGAGATTAGGGAGCTGAAGTTAAATTAGTAACAAAAAATGTATTTGAACTTAGTCTGTACCAGGCTCTGAGCCAGGTTCTAGAAATACAATAAACACAACAGAGATGGATCCTATCCTGGCCTCTTGTGGATCAAGAGTGGTAGGTAAATAAGGAAATGAGATAAATGCACACCATTATAAGCACCGTTAAGAAAATAAACAAGTAGTGAGTTAGAAAGTAGCAGGGGAGACCTCTCTGAGATGGTGACACTTAAGTCACATAAAGCTCTGGAGAAGTCCATCCCAGTGCTAAGGACAGGAGTCCTGGAACAGGGAGAAATCCAGGGTGTTCTAGAGACCAGTCGGACCAAGCATCTTGTCACAGCCAGGAACTGGCAAGAGAGGAGGAAGAGGGCAGCAGAGCAGGGCTCACACATGTTCTTGGAGGGCTTGGTAAGTGGTCTGGCCCTGAACTACAAGGGACAATCAAGGAAAGGCTTCAAAAAAGAAAAGACATTGTGTTGTCAACATTTTCAAACATCATTCTGTCATTGGACATATATTCACCAATGTGACAGAAGAGAAAGCCTAGAATTAGTCCTTGTGTATACGTCTAATTGATTTTTTTTTTTTCTTCGCCGAATGCCTTCAAGGCATGACTGGCTGTCTTGTGTTGTGGGGATGAACCACAGCAACCTGAGCCTGACTGCTTTGTTGAAGCAGCCACTTAAAGAACTGAGCTAAGGGGCAGGCCCCCCGTCTAATTGATTTTTGCAAGTTTTATCTTTTAATTTTGAGACTCAAGTCTCACTAAGGTGTTAAATTTCCCAGGCTGGGCTCCATCAAACTTGCAATCTTTCTGCCTCAGTCTCCAAAAATGCTGGGATTACACACATGTCCTACTAGGCCCAGCTATTGATCTTTTCAATATAATATGAGGAAGTGGGAAAAATATACACAGATCATATATCTGATATGGGATTAGTATCCTAAATACAAAAAGAGCTCCAACAAAACATTAGCAAAAAAGCAAAGAATTACATCTTTTTTAAAATTTTTTTTCAAGTTTTATTTGTGTGTGTGTGTGTGTGTGTGTGTGTGGCCAGCTCAGCCCACCAGGGGGCGGGGCTGGCTGGCATGTGGTGCTGGGGGATTGAACTGCGGTCCCTGTGCTTTGCTAAGCTTGTTCTAAGTAGGTGCTTTAGACCACTGAGCCATCTCACCAGCCCAAGAATTACATTTTAAAATGGGCAAAGGATAGAATTTTAATCCTTTCTTCAAAGAAGATATATGGCTGAGGAACATGAAAAGATGCTCACGTCGCTCATCCTTGGGGAAATGCAAATCAAATCCACAATGAGATGTTGCTTCACCCTGATTAGTGTGACTGCTATCTTAAAAAAAAAAATGGGGAAGAGTTGTTGGCAAGAATGCACACAGACTATCTTTGGTGTTCCTAGTAGAATGGTAAAGTGCCAGGTGGCTATGAAATGTTTGGTAGTTTCTTAAAAAGATAAAACACAGAATCACCACACGATCAAGCACATTTCTCTCCCAGTCAATGCACCCAAAGAGCTGAAAGCAGGAACTCTAATGTGCACAGCAGCATTAATCAAAGTAGCTAAAAGGTGGGAAAAAATCATGACTATTACCAGATGAATGAATATGTGAAATATGCTATTTGACTCAGCCATAAAATAGAAGGAAACTACACCAGCAGAAGTAGGGTAGGATTTCACTCCTGTGACAGACTTGGCAGAGGCAAATGCACCATGGTAGGCAGAATACGGGTTACCAGGGGATGGAAAGAGGAAAGAACGGGGAGTTTGTGTGTAACAGGTACACAATTTCAGTTTGGGATAATGGGAAATGTTCCTTACGTGAATAGCTGTGATAGTGGCATAACCCTGGACATATGCCAAATGCCCCTGGATTATACACCTAAAATGGGTAAAATGGTTCATTTTATACCCAACCACTATAAAAATAGTTTTAAAAACCCACCCCTCTGGCTGCTGGGGAAAAGCAACCAGAGGGCGGTGCTGTGCCATCAGCTGAGCTGGATTACAGAGCAGGACGGCTGACACAGAGGAAGGGGAAGATGGGAACCACTTGGGCCAGGTGGAAGCACGCGCACATGACACCGCTGGCCAGGGCTCGCCAGTCTCACGGGCTCAGCTGTGCATCTGCGCTTCAGGCCTTCGCGGTTCAGCCAGCCCCTTGTGGTGGATCATTTTAAATTCACACTGGACTGAGCGTAGTGGGCCTGCAGGGAATGAGCCCAAATTAAGGCAGGGAGCCCAGCCGAAGGCTACCCATAAGGCATAGCCTAGAGACACAAAGCTTTACATGGTCCATTTCTAAAGACAGACTACAGCTACATGAAAGGAGAAAACCTGGTCAGGTTTCCCCTTCCGTCTCAGTGCCTAGTATGATGCTACACCTGTCATATGTGGGCCTTCAAAAATTATTTGCTGAATAAAGGTTAAGAAACTGCTGTGCAGCTAGCCATGATGGCGCACACCTGTAATCCCAGCACATGGGAGGCTGAGGCAGGAGGATTGCAAGTTTGAGTCCAGCCATGACTATTTAGCAACTTAGCAAGACCATGTCTCATAAAAAAAAAAAAAATTCCAATAGGGCTGAGGCTGTAGCTCAGTGTGAAGGGCCTGGGCTTAATCCCCAGTATGGAAAAAAAAAAAAGCCCTAAATCTACCCTCATTACTAATTTGAACAGGCAAGCTTAGTTTTTCACAGTGACTTTCTTCAACATCAAAGTTCATTGTTACAAATTCCACTTTATATAACCCTGGGTATCCTTCTACAAAGGCTGAGTTTCAGGGTGCCTGACATTTAGTGGGTTCTTGGTGATAACACCAGGACACATATAATGATTTTTAATTTAATAATACAGCTGGTCCTTTATGTCCAAGGGTTCCCCATCAGAGGTTCAGCCACCATGGATGGAAAAAATTCAGGAAAAACGTGCATCTGTGCTGAACAGGTGCAGATTCATTTCTTGTTATTATTTTCTAGTAATACAGTAGAACTGGTTACATTGCATTTACATTGAATTAGATATTGAAAGTAATCCAGAGATGGCTTAAAGGATGTGGATGACATAGGTTATATGCAAATATACCATTTTACATTAGGGCCTCGAGTATTCAAGGGCAAAGAGGGTCCTAAAACCAATCCCCAGGGGCCAGGGAACAACTGTACTATGAAAACGTCACCTTCCTTTTCAACACAGAGTTAGAATTTGGCAAGCAATGGGAACTGTGCATTTCATTTTTCTCTATCATACCAAACACCACTGCACGTCATTTCTAACATGAGAAAACTAATAAGAACCTAATTTTGCAAAGGGAAGAAAATTATGACATAGATATTTACTACCAAGTTTGGCCATCTTCACAGATTAAAATGGAAACTGAAGACAATATGAGAAGAAAACATTTATAAAATACAGCTAAATGAAGAAAGAGGAATGTAAAACCAAGTACACAATTTCATCACAATCACATAAAAACTAAGTTTGTAGCTGCAAAGATTGGAAGGGATGAAGACAGCTGCTGCAAGGAGGGGAGATTATTCACAGAATTTAAATATATACATGTTTAAAATTCATTTTCTAGGATCTCTGAAGGTCAACCATCAACACACACAATCGTGGCTCTGGAGGAGGACCCCGGACACCTCTGAAGACCTTCTGGCCACTGAGTTGCCTCATCTGGCAGGGATAGCTGGTGGTTGGTCTGACAGCCTTCAAGGCAGCGGCTCCCCCGGTGTGGTTCTGCGACAGCTACAAGGTAATCTGAGGCTCGGGAGAAATTCAGACTGTGGGGCAGCCCAAGACCTCCTGAATTTGTCACTTAGCCTGGAGCCTAGCAATCTGTGCTCCACAACCTCTAAGCCTTCAGGTGACTCTGGTGCCTGCTCTCAAGCACTATGCTGACACTCCGCTATGCCCACAGGTCTAATGAGTCACTTTCCCAGACACAATTCGCACTGTTCACAAAGCCTCTGTGCTACTTATTAGACCAAGCCCAAAGCGTTCTATTGAAAGTGCTATTTTGCTACTAAATCTCATCTTTACTACTACAGCTACTTAAACATGAACTGTGCTTATGTGTTGCCTGTTTTATGGGTATGAGCTCCTTAGGTCCTTGTACCAACCATTCAAGGAAGATAAGCTGGTTCTTTGTTTTATGGATGCAAAAACAGAGGCTGGAAGCCTAAGATCCTACAACTAGTAAATGATAAATGAAGGATGGCTTCAGAACACAGGTTCTTAGGTCCTGAGAAGCAGGGTAACAGGACTGGTCACGGAGGCAAGTGGTGCAGTGTCGCACCCCAGCCTGTCTGATCTGGGACCTGTTCACTGCTCGGCCTGATCCACTGAGCCCTGTAGCCTCACCCACACTCGCCTGGGCATCTGCTCACTGTCTGGAACACCTGTTGAGAATCAGGCTGTTTGCCCTCATCTCCTGTCTACTTCTGCCACCCACTCGCCCCCCACTACTTCCCTGAGATCCCCAGCTAGAACAGGACTCTGCCTCTATCTCAGCCCCTAGTGCCCCCCACCTGTGACTCTCACGCTCTTTACCTGTCCCAGCTCTGCATAACTGCTATACGCATACTCCTCGAGCAGAGGTGGTGGTCTGAGCTGACATGGTGTCACCAGCGAGCACAGAACAGGCAGTGACCGAGGAAATTAGTGTGTCTTTCATGTGGCTAAATTCATTCTTTACATAGTTTATGTATCTCATCTGCCCAGCTGGAGGACAGCAAGCTCCTTCAGAACAAGAAACAAATCTTTATTTTATGTATTCAAAAAGACTCAGTCCTGGGCCAGGTACACAGTCAAGGCTGTAATATACCTCAATTTAAGTAGAACCTTACTGGTACATAACTCTCAAACAAAGTTTTCTACCACTTAAATCCTGTAAGAATGCAGCTTATATTAATGAAGGAATAACTGAGCACCTATACTAATGATTAGAAGCAACCTGTTTTTAGAAACAGACAAAAATAGTAGACCAACGTTCTGAACAAAAATCAATGGAATTGACTCGCACATTTTCCTTAAATTTGTTTAACTTTCCATGCAGTTGAGAAAAAAAATCATACTTCTATCTTAGAAAAAACCCTGAGACTATTGTGTATGTTTTCCTTACATTTCTCTTTAAAATGAAAACATACTCTTTTTAAAAATCATACCATAAACTCCAATGTCTCTCACTTGGAAAATATGGATGTTTTTATCGGAGACAGTTACCATCCCTTACAGTCATTTATCTAGCCCAATGGACATGCTTTTAAGAGGAAAGGAAGAGCTCACAAATAAAGGAAGAGCTCTAACTCCTGTCACATACTCAGAGGCAAGGGTACAGGAAATCAGAATACATATTTCAATCATATTTCAACCTTCAAAACTAGAACTGTAAACTTTTAGGAACAATATAATAGAAAAACAAAATGCTGTCTTTCTTAATTCACAAATTATTTTATTTAATTATATATACCATCAGCAGAGAAAGATATCAAGCCACAAAATATTTTTTAATCAGCTGGAAGACACAGGATTCAAAGTAAGTAACAATAAAAACAAATAAAGATGTGCAAATTATCACAGGCTTCAATATGTATTTGTGCCAATCCAATCCTTACACTGTACTCACATGGTCTAATGGTAAATACACAACAAAAGGTCTGGTGAGTGTGGCAATCCTCTCTAAATCTAATCAATGCACCACCACTGAACAGACAGCATAAACTTACCAGCTCCACAGATCCATAATGTTTCCTACTGAAATCCCCACGTCTACAGCCTAGGTCTTCCGAGACAGAGCTGGAACAAAAATGCTTCATCAGTATTATACATAGCGATCTGGCCACAAACCTTCTGCAAAAAATCGACTACCATTTGCAAAAAGGGCTGCTGTGGAACAGAGGCTCACAGGCCCGGCTCCTCACTGCAGGGGAGCCTCCTCACCACACACTCGGTCCCCAGCAGCCATTGCAGAGCCTGGCTTTCATGAAGCCTTCAGTCATAAGAAAAATGCCCGAGTCATCCCTGGAAGTATAGGCAATGACCGAATTAAATATTTAGTCATTTGGAATCGATTGAAATTTCCAAGGCTACTGGTGGTTTATAATTTCATTTCTGTATTACCAGAGGGGACAGAAAGCCCTGCAGTAGTAACCTGAGGCAAGGGACAAAGCTGCTGAACCAGATATTGCAATTAGCTTTCCCTTAAGAGAGCCTCTTTGTCCCAAATATGCAACATAAAAATAACCAGCATTTTTTAATGCTGTATTTTAAGCTGAAATTTAAAAAAATTTCCAAAATCCCTACAGGCTCCTCTCATCCGCCCCCACCCCCTTTTAAGATTTTTATACAGCAGTTTGAAAAAAGACCAGAACTAACAGAGAATCTAACAACTGAACATCTGCGCACATTTAGTTTTTCATGCAGCAGCAGCAGCTACTGCTTCCCGCCCTCCTTTCCCCCTCCCCATCAACACAGGCTTCGATCAGACAGGAGCACTCACGTGTGTGCTGAAGGGCAATTAAAACAAAGACAAAACTGTTACTGCATTTGCACCCTGAACATGCCACCGCACTCTCAGAAGGCACACAGCTTGGTGGCTGGTGAGTATATTTAGGACCCCAAGCAGGACTCACAAAACCAACGAGAGCCACAAAATACAAACACTTTCAGTAAGTTTGGTTGGAATATGTCATGCAAGCAACTCTAATAAAACAGAACTCTGATAAAACAGAAAATAGGCTACTGAAGAATTACATGTTTAACATAATTCAAAGCATTTGTAATCTCACATGCAAAGAAAGGTGCGCTCAATACCTTTTCATCCTTCCTTACAAGGTAGGTTACATTTTCTAAATTACAGCACTCTTGGCACATTCAGCAAGAGACTGACTCTGATGTTTAGCATCCACAGAACTGACTGTCTGCCAGGACACCGCTTGACAGGCTCCAAGAAAGACAGCAGGAGAGAAATGAGATTAGAAAGTCTAATGGTATTCTGCCTCCACCATTCCACAGAAATGGCTGAATTAATCTTATATGAGAAATTTAACCTTTTGTGGGCCTTACTCCCTTAGCTGAAAATGTGCAACAAATCAAAGGAGGCCGTTTGAAAGGAGGTTTGAAAGATGTTACTTTGGCTGCCTTTTTGCTTCTACTGACAAAAACCAACATCTCTGGAAGAGAATAAAAAAACTTCTCTCCATGGTCTATTCCAGTCTGTTGAATCTGGCCTCTCTGCCTGTGCCCTTAGTTCAGTCTGAAAGGCCTCCTGGAGATGCTGCTATTGCTCCACACGACAGTCCTACGATCTTTTCCCCTTGGTCTGGTTACCAAGAGACCATAGGCTCCAGAGTCCATGCGCTGGGACAGAGATCAGGCACAGAGCCGATGCTGTCTGCTCGGACCTCAACCCAGGGCTGCAGTCTCAGCCAGGCCGATGATGAAATCAAGGGTGGCAGCAGTAGCCCTAGGATGAACGGCTGATGACTGAAAGAGCAGGTATCTCCCGGCACTGCCCTCAGCACCACAAGGCGTTCTGAGACATACTGTAGCAGCTCCCTAACGGCCAAAGCCAGAGCCAAACGCGAAAAGAGGACAACTCTACATCCCTGGAGATACCTCTCAGAGGGAAAACAACGTCCTGTAAGTCAGCCAAGAGAGCAGTAAAGAGAAGTTTCTATCTGCCCCCCTCCCCTTATATGTCACCCACTGCACTGCAGAGAGCAAGCTCGCCCGTGGTGGGAACCAGGCTGGACCATGGGGGGTGCATTTCTCAGGGCTGCAGCACACACTCAGGACAGCTATGTCACCAAGCCCGCTCTCCCTGGGCACCTGGCACAGGGCTCCGGGTGGAAAGGACCACCTAATCTCCACGAGGAGCTTGGTCCTCCTGTTGGGCTGGGCCACTGCTTGGCACATGATGGCCATTTAGTCACTGGCCGTGGCACTAAGGGAGGTATTTGTATGCGCACTAGCTAATGGCCAACAGCATTCTTCATAATCACTGAGGGCAAAAGCCCCTTGCTGTTCTCCCTGATGGGAAGCTGGTCTTTAGCCTCTCGGTCTAGACAGTTCTAGCCTACAGGGCAGGCACTACTATGAGCACATGTTTTTAAAAACTATTCCTTTCTCTTGAGCCTGCTGCAGGACTGCAAGCACAGGCCCTCTTGGGCTTGAGACATCACTGTCTTTCTGGACTTCAAATGAGAAGAGTTCCGGCCAAGGAGATGCAGGCAGATGTACGGAGAGGCCTCTAGCACCATGAAGGACAAAGCCACAGGAAGAGGGAGCCCTGGCCTTGAGTGACCACACAGAAGTCCCAACTGAGATTACTCTCACTAGGCTGTGCTGAGAATGAGAAATGACTTGTTCTACATCACTAAGATTCAGGGTTGATCTATTATGGCAAACAATTTCATCCTCACGGATACAACTCTTCATATGTAACACAACAGTGAAAGAATCTGTCAGAGGGCTGGCGGTCAGGATGATCCTACACCAGAGGTTTGCAAACTATGGCCCAGTGCAACCCACTGCCTATTTTTGAGAGCAAAGCTTTATTGGAACACAGCCACTCCCACTGGTTACAGACTGTGCATGGCTACTTTTGTACTACAGTAGTGGACTTGAACAGTTTCAGTAGAAACCATCTGGCCCACAAAGCCCAAGCTGTTTACTAAGTGGCCTTTTACAGAACAAGATAGTCGCCCCATAGCAGTCTCATGAATCTTGGGGAAACGCTCAGCAGCAGTCTTCCTTGAACCTTAGAGTCCAGCAGATTCCCTGAGGAGTCTGGTAAATGCAGATCCCCGGGCTCTACTCCCAGAGGTTGTGCCTGGGACAGCCGCAATTCTAACAAGTAAGTCTGAAGAATTCTGCTGCAGGTGGTCCATGGCAATGCTCAGAAAAACACTGCTGTTCCAGATGCCTCGGGAATCCCCAGGAAACCTGTTAATCATTCTGCAGCACTTTTCAAGAAAGGACAAGGCCAATCAAGGTCGCCAGCAACCTGGGAAGTGCAATGTCATTTGTCTGAGCATCGCTTGAGAGACACAGATGGGTTTTTAGCCTTTCTGGGCATTATTCGTTCCCCCATCGATGAACTGTGGTTGAAAAGACCACCACGCTCACAGGACTATCAAGAATAAAAAAGAAAAAGCACAGTACTAAGCATATCAAGTATTACATGAAAACCATTCTACATGTTAGGTAATATTATTATTGGTTTTCTTGTTAATATGAACTACTTCCGGGGCTCTTCAGAGAGACCTGGGGTGGGAAGTTGAATGTCAATGATTACTGAATTTTAAAAAAAGTTTTAAAATGCCTTTCCCTGTCCTGTAGCAGTTAAGGAGACCCAAAGCCCATCAGCAGACTTCTCAGGATGGGGTCAAGGGGCTGCACCCCGTTCCACTCCAAATCTCCCTAGAAGAGTCAGTCTAGCAGGAATCCCTCACCTACCAGAGGCTTGGGTCCTCTGGTGGCACGACACAGGAAGACATGTGAAACCTGGCTGGAGCAGGCCACCAATCTGGGCAGGTGCAGATGAGTACGGAGCTTCCAGCTCCCTGCATGCAGAAAGCTCCAGTCTTTAAATAGAAAGCCTTCTGCTTTAGCAAATTAATGTGTGAGAATGCTGGATCACACTCTGCACGCATGAACAGAGTGGAGGACCTCCACGCTAAACTGCCACATATGGCCAGGGGTGGGAGCAAAGATTTCTAGCTCTATAAGGAGGCTAGACGAGCTGCCATGATCAAAGTTAGGTTCCTGAAAAGCAAGATAAGGTTCTCCAAAAATCTCAGAGCTGCTGAAAGTAGAAGGCCCTTATTCGACTTGCTAGGCCCTAACTAGCCAGGTTTCAATGGCTTTTAGCCTTAGAGTAAGAGTTATGGGTGACAGTGACAAGGGGACTCCTGAAGAGATTCCTGATGAGCAGAAAGAATCAGTGAGAGGCAACAGGCAGTTTTTTGAAGTCTACCAATAGGAGAGGCCAGCGTCAGCAGCTCTGGTGCTCAGGCTCCACAGGCAGGCAGCAGGAGACCTTCTGAGGGCCACAGCAGCTTTTTAACCGGGTCAGACCAGAGATGGAGGTTTGGAGTGATCCTGGGGCCTTCTAACTACAGGTACTAGAATAGCTGATAGCACATAAATGACCAGGTGTCAAGCCTTTAAAAGACATGTGACACAGAAGAGTAGAGATGTAATCATATGTTAGTTCCTAATGCTGAAATGGAAGACTTTGGTCCTCTCTTAAGGGCACCAGGAAGCAGGAAGTAAACAAGCGTTCTAGAGTGAAAAAGTCTGGGATATCAGAGGTCTCGGCTTATTAGAACTCTCCAGATGGCTCCCTGTGCGTTACTATGTTTCTGAGGGTACAGTGCCGCGTGCCCCTCGCTCCAGGCTCTTCAGTTCACCATCCTTAGCAAAAAATGCCAGTCACAGGGGTCAGACAGCTCCCCTCCAGGCACTACCTCTGTGACCTCAGGCATGTTACTTCTCTACCCTGAGGCCGTTGCCTCATCTAGAACATGGAGTCCCATCGCATCTGTCTCTGTGGGAGGGTGAAGAGAGTTCATAAGTAAATAATATGCAGCACGGAGAAGCTACTAAATAAACACTCGTTACTCTGTCTGTTAGGAATCTTATCATCCTGGCCACCAATGCTTCTTACAGAGTGATTGTCATAGCAGGCTGCTTAATAAGTATTTGTTGAATAAATTAACTGTGAACACGTTTTTATTTTCCCCCTGCGGAACGGGGGATTGAACTCAGGCCCTTGCGCTTGCCAGGCAAGT